CCAATAATAATATTAAATTTGAAATCAAACCTACCTTAACTAATAGAAATAAATCTTTAACATAACTTTACTCTTCTTAATGTAGCACCCACATTGTAATCTAAGTTTTCTTCCCACTGTTTTTGAGGTAATGAAATGTTGTCCGCTGCTTCTATCGATATCCTTAATTCTGTGAATATGAGAAAAACCTGTACATGGAGTGTTTCAGTATGTTTACCTGAGAATGCAGCACTTATAAAATTAATCTGTTCTCCACAAAACGTTACGTATCTGTTTTACCATGCAACATTTACGTCGTCATCAAAAAAATTCGTTACATATATACATTATTTAAACATTTAGACAAAATTTTTAAGACAGATTTTATCGTGACTTGCCTTAAAAAACAACACATTAATGCATTAGTAGAAATTAATTAATATGAAAGTACTGCTGTTTCAAACAACAGCAATCTTTTCAGCTAGGTCCCAGAGAATAGTGTAATCTTCCATCCAAGCTTCTTAATATACGAGCCCTAACAGTAGTACTTCTCTTCTTTAGCATTTAATTTCACTGGCCTACGAAATTACTACACATTACAAAGATCCCAAACATCAGGTACTCAGCGAGAACTCATCAAAAGCATTTCGGAAACTGTAAATTAAGTGTGGTTCAGTAATCAAGGGACAAAGACGTCAGGCACCTAATTTGAAAACATTCTTTGATTCGGCTAGTAGCCCGAGTCATAAAATAATCAGGGAACGAAAACATACGACAGAGTTCTCATTGGATTACTAGGAATCGAATCTCTGAAAGTAGCCGTGGGCTACTGCGGGAAAACAAATACCGCCCCCAACATCCCACCGATTCGCTACTGGGAGCAACTTGTGTTTGCGTCTTCAAATTTCGGGCGCGTTCTCCGGAAGACTTCATTAATTAGTTAAAGTAACATCTTATTTTCCGGAGGATGGGAGGAGCAGAAATATCTTGTAAAACAAGTGAGATGAGAAATTCATCATGTTGCTTTAGAAATTATTAGTGTTGTTCTGAATCATTCAGCAATTATCCATTCAGTATAGAAAAGAATAACTAAAGTTTGGGGTGCTCTAAATATTTACATTCGGATATTTCCTGACCAAAACATAAAGCCTATTACTTCTTTACTGAAACTTAAAATTAGGCAAGTTTCAGTCTTAGATTAGCGTTAAATTGTATAGGAAAGTTCTACATATTTTAATGCCACTCGACACACTATCTTACTCAAGGGAAAAATATCCCAAGCCTTTTTTCCAGAGCGGATTAGATTCAATTATTTGATTAGGCAAATAATACGAGAGTTATCCCACTGCAGGAAGTAATGCTTTCGTGGAGGATCTTCTAAATAAAACTTATCAGTATTTTCCTTACACACGAGGAAATATATCAAAATCTCTTGCAACCAGGAAGTATTTATTACAATCTTCATATGAAAGTAATCTAGCAAAAAAAAGTGCCCGGCTGCATCGTGAACATTTAAGACTTTAATATTATTATTAAATACGCCTTACTAAGAGTTGATTTGTGATGGCGTAATCTCTTAGCACGTTTTTGTACCCTCTTGCAATTAGACAATGCTGTTTTGAATAGCTCGTTTTAAATATACCATTTCATATTTTGTAGCTTGAATTTTGGGTATGAATTGTGCAAACTAATAAGCATGTTGTAGCTGTTTAGCTTAAACCTATTTCAAGTGTTAATCTGGAATCTGAATGCAGAGATAAGATTAGATTTTAATGTAATTTTTTAATATTTTTTTAAGTTTCTCAAATTTTTAATAGTAAATATTTTACCACCAACCTTTTAAGAGGATTTTAGGTGGCCGTGTATCTTGAGCGTCTGCCTTGCCTCACAGACATTATACGCTGTATATCCATGACTTCTCCTGGATTTGAATCCGAGCCCTTTGGTATTAAAATCACTGTCACTAACCACTATGCCTTCTGGTCGGCTGAACAAAGTATGCAAGAGTTATCTTCCTAAAGGGAGGGGGAAATAACTCAAGAATTCAAGCTATATGTGGAGAAACATTCGGCTCGGTAGACAGCCCGTTCTGGGATTCTCTGGGATTCGATTCCAGGCCATACGACCAGGGTTTCAACATTTTCCTGCTCAGCAGCGGCTGAGTGGAAAAGCCGCTGAAAACTGTTAGTTCGTGCCGCATTAAAATGCCGGTGAGTATAGTTCCTGAGGGGATATCGGTATCGCAACCGACGAAGGGCTTCTAGAACAGACCAGGAGGCTTATTTAGTTCGCACTCATATATTTCCAAGAATCAACTGTACTGCTAAGAACAAAAGTAAAAAAAAAATATGGCACATTGTGATAGTAGTACGCAGTAAGTACCTGACTCTAAACATGCGAAAAGAATATATGGAAAAATAATTTAAAAGAAATCGTATTAAATGCATATGAAAAGAAAATTTGTACAATTATAATAAATGTATGTGAAAAGAATATTAAAAAAAAAGTAGTTAAAAAGAAATTATATAAATGCATGCGAAAAGAATATTGGCACAATAAATAAATGTATATAGCAGAAGTATGAGCTTTTATTATTGCAGCTGTATGAAAATTACGTTCGATACTAGCTGACATATATTTTTATTTAAAACAGAACTTTCTTAACTTCCATTCCTAAACATTTGTTGTTCCAGATTTCATATTAATAACTGTTAATTCTTAAAAGTATCTGTTCATAGGAATAAATTAAGCAAATATATTTATCTTATCCCCATAAAAAATTTATTGCTACTAGTAGGTATAATTAGAGAATATATACTTTGAATAGAATAGAACAGTATATACTTTGAATCTTTCGTTTCTAAAATCACAATAATGCACGGACCGAGATGAGAAAATGAGAGATCTGCACAAGGTTTTGAAGTAAGCTGCATAACTTCGAAATAAAATATAAACAGCTTTAGGGTAACATGCGTATAAACATTATGAACACATTCAAATATGCAACGACAAAAGAGCAGAAGCGCATTGGTCCATTCTAAAAGCTTCTCTCTCGGTTGCACTACTGATGTGCACTTAAAAATTACATTGCCGGTGAACGGATGCCTTCATTCTCCGTGTTTCCGGGAGCCAGTTTCCCTTAAAAGGTCCTCCACCAAATATGCAAAAGGCCTTCGGGTACTTTGCCTTAATCTAAGTAACCCAATCCGAATTCAATATTTTATCACTCTGCTTAAACTACGCTCGTCAAATAAATTTCTATTCGAAACAAGAAGGTTAAGCATAAGAGAAATTCAGGTTTTCAGTACGTAACACATGAACTTCTTTATGGCTAAAATGGCGCTGATTTATGCCAAAGTGTAGTACTCTGTGGTCAAGAAAAACCCATCTGGGGGGACTTTTAAGCTGAAATATTTCATTCAATGAGCGGAACAAATGACTGCAACGCATAGTTGCTCGGAATTTTTCCTTACTTTCCCCTACCGCCCATTTTAAAGCGCTCGTAGAGCAGAATAAATGACTTCCACAACCCGAATGTACTGGGGAAAAAGTTCTATGGTCATTTTAGACTGCAAACAAACGGTCGCAACGCGTCCTACTTTTGCACGAACTGCGATCAAGCCGTCTTAAAAGTTCATCAAGCATAATAAATGACCGTACTGTGCTGTCACAAAAGCATGTGACGGGTTAATGGAGAATTTTTATACTAAAGCTTGATTAAGCTGCAACAAATGCTCTTAATATAGCACTGTGCACATAAATAACGTTTGTTTTACTAATGTGTGGATTTCTTTTAATATAAACAGTTGTGTTTTATTTTATAAAAAACATTATAGAAATTTATGTCTCTCGATATACCATGATTAATTACTTCATGAACAAGATTTCTTCATTGGCTACTTCTCGACATTTATCTACTTTATTTTTCTACTTTTTCAATTTCTTTGATTTAATTTTAATTAAAACTGTTATGTATCATGAAATAGTTAAATTAAATTGAAGTGTCGATAGTACTCTTCTAAATAAATAGAACCTAAGCAGTATTAAAACGTATATATTAAAACCCGAAGTTAAATTTAATACATATTCAGAAATTTTCCGTAAACAGTAGTTTCTGTCCTCTAATTGGTTCCTAATGATCAACCGGGAGAAACATTTCCCCAAAATGAAACAGGATAAACAAAGTTAGCAAAGTTGTAATAGATTCAAGTTTATTGCACAAACAAGAAAGAAAATTTTTCTCCCTCGCTGAAATCCTACGTGAGTCATGTTTTCTGGTTTATCACCGCTGTTCTTGTAATCCGGCATCCATGTGATTCCATGTGAGAGCGATGTTTTCACTACGATGAGATTGCATCATTTTATTTTGAAATTTATCCAAATACTCGCTTCATATTTCTTTCATTTTTCTCTTCTCCTGAAAGCCTAACCTGCCGCCCAGAGGTTGAAGAATAAAACCTTCGAAATCCGGTGGTTAGATTTGGGTTCCAATCCCGGCGAACGGGCTGGTTATATGGAAGATACCGTGATATTTCCCAAATGTAACATGATGACGCGCCTTAAAATGATCTCCACGAAGGCATTCATTCTGTTCCCTTAGGCAAATAAACTAAAGTTTTAAATTATAATCTAAATAATGCCAAATCTTGAAAGCTATTTCGAGAAATAATGTTCAAAATACATCCTGGATTGATCCCAAAGTAGTTGTCAGTCCTCTGGAATTTGAGTTTTTTCATGTTGCATGCACGAAATGTGAGCTGTATTTCAATAAAATTTAAGAAATAAAGCTTTTCTATTTAATATACAGTGCATTTATGTTGCCTGTACATCTAAAGTTAGTAGTGTCTAAATTTACAAAAAATATTTATAAATCCTATGTACTTACTGTAAGTTATTAGAATCTGCACTACTCTGTCAATGCATAGTTATTTACCTATTTTATACATTATGTGTAATGAGTTACAGATACTGAGATATCATTAATTATTAAATTTAAGATTATTATATTGGTATATTTTCAGATCGAGTTCGAACTAAACCAGAATTTATAAATGGATACCCATCAAACATAACAGCAAAGGCTGGTGATACTGTTTCACTTCAGTGCTTGCTGTCAAGTGACATTCCTCCTCATGTTCAAGTAAGATATTTCGTGAAAATATACTTCATCATTTTTATGCAATCTGTGTTTACTTTATCAGAATGTGCGTATTCTGAAATGAAATTAAATCTCGTTTATTTAAAAGCTTAAGAAGATCGTGAGAGTACAGTCCTCGAAGATTTGTGATTACATATCTATAGAACTGAAATTTTGTGAATGCAGTAATTATAGAAATTAACATGAAGCTTTGAGGTAATAAGTAAATTAAAGTAAAGGTTTCTTGAATCTATCTTGTGTTTCTTCCTGAGTCATATTAGATAATTTAATTAAAATTACGCCGTACTGCAGCAAACTCAACGGGATACTGAATCAACCGGGATATTCTCCCCAAAAATATCCCTCTTAAGAGGATAACTCTCGTGTGCTTTGGCATACTCAAATACTCTACTGTGATGCAACAACCGTTAAACAAATCTAGAAAGCAGTGATTAGAAGAAGAAAACGCGAATCCGACTATTATACTTTAGTCGGAGCATCGAAATGAGCATCACAATGCGCAAATTGATACATTCGGCGTCGTCCAACAGTACAAAGAGAAATATGAGTAACCCCTTATTGGCACAAACAGCTTCTTATTGATTGTCTGAGGAAGGTTTGCAGTCGAGCCGTCCATTACAAAAATTGCCACTAGCACTGAACTATTGTCACGAAAGCTTGCAGAAATGTATCATCTGATCTACCTGGGATAACAAAGAGTGGAGTGGTGTGGAGTTCGCAATTGAATCTTCATTCTATCTTAGCACTGAAAATCTCCAGATGAAAATATGAAGCGAAGACTACAATTAGGCTAATTTTACTATCCTTACTCAGTGCCCGTGCGGATTGGTTATGGTGCCTTCAGCAACAACAATGATTACTTTGCCATCTGACTGCAGTATCTTCAAGACACTTCAAATGATATTACCCAGCAGGACAATACGCATATAGATAATACAGCAGGCATGTCTCCTAACTCAGCTTGATCCCCAGATCTCTTGTCAGTTCAGAACCTTTGAGGCCCAAATAATTATTTAATTAATGTTCCTCAGGGATCTCAATACAAAGAGAAAATGTGAACGTTAGTTAAAACTCCATAGACCACAATATACCTGAACAGAATCCGAACATGCATTGAGTCAAAGCCATGTTTTTAAGTACTTCCCTCATCTATGAAAGTGTAGATTATCGCCCAAAAGATTAATCCTAATATGTACCTATCATCTTGGTCATTGAAGGTATGCATGTGATTTCTTCGAAATTAAAATCAGTTTTTTTAATTAGTTCTCTGTCTAGGTGTCGAGTGTTGTCACAGTTTGAGAATTAACACATGTTGTACCATTTTTCTGTGATTTTCATGTTGAAAACCGCCATATCTTACGTTTTGATGATTTATGATTAAAGATTGAATAATCGTACAATCGGATTTATAATTAGCCGACACCTCCTGGTTCTAGCTTATGTAATAAATTTATGGAGTTAGGATACTTGTTATAGACGAAGGACTGCACTAGGTAGTACCCAGGTATTTACCTACAACTTCAGCAATCTGTATGTAATATATATATATATATATATATATATTATATATATTACATACAGATTGCTGAAGTTGTGGACTGAAAGTTAAGAGTGCATGTAGCAGCTCAAATCCGATTGCAAGTGTAAATTGTAATTGGTAATACTAGCCTAAAATCTCTCTTAGGTTTTAAACGCGATTTAAACAGAACGCTTCATAGCATATTGTTCTCTCTACCAACAGCAGCCTGCTATACTGTATACTTGAAACTAAATTCAACAAAATAAGTTTAAAAAAAAATAATAGCTGTATTTTTTTTTCTTTTTGAAAAGAGGAAAAATCTAAACATTATAGTTAATCGAGCTAGGTAACTGAAGAAATAATGATTTAATTTTAATAGAATAATTATAAGCAACTAAAATTAATTATAATGATTAATAACATGCCATAATTTTATGTACATTACATTATTTTTGCTCTTTCGACAGTGGCTGAAGCAGATACCTTCGACGGGGGGTAAGTCTCCAGACCAAGCTTTCCAGGCTGTTAAACTTCTAGGCGAATATTATCATGTCCTGAAATCCACAGAAGTTATTGAAAGAATGGATGGTTCCTTTTTTAGCAAGCTGGTCTTCAAATCGGTACGAGAAACTGACGAAGGAAAATACATTTGCTTGGGAGCTAATGCCATGGGATTCAGGTCTCGAAGTGCCTTCCTTACAGTCCTCCCGAGTAAGTAATGCATTTTACAGACGGTGGGAAACTAAAGGCATCTTTTCATCTTAATGTTTTTTTATAAAATATAACCTTTATTCTTTAAACTTTGAAGAATTAAAGTGAAATTAAAATTAACCATATTTTATTTCATAGAATTTGAACATCACCGTATAGCTTTCACGGATACAGTACAGAAAACTTTTAGAGATTTGACTTTCTGCTTTCATGACTTTTAGCTCAAACTGTTGAAGACTAAATGTATCTTTGTTCTAAGTTCATCTATCGATTCCTGCGAATTCGCAAGAGACGTAACGTGCTGCCCGATAACATCCTACATAAATCTGATAAGCCGCAGCTCCAGGGAAAGAGATTTCTGGAGAAGACAAATTTGATTGAGATATTGTGATAAAGATTGGACATTATGGATCTGTGTATCACCCTGATGAAAAATAGCTTTTTGCGATATAGATGAATAGCAATTAAAATACTAAATATTGTTTGAATATACCTTTTCATTGCAAACTTTTTCTACGCTAGTTCGTTCCACATAATTTTCCATAATGCATGCTGAATTATCTTTTATTATCTTGTCTTTATATGCTTATGCAATCATCGACGCTTAAATAGGAATTTAACTTATCACCAATGAAATGGTGTCATTTTTCTATTCAAAGAGTTTAATAGCCTTATGTTGAAATTGATGCGTAAATGAATTGCGGTAAATCACTTCACAGAAAAAGATACATAAACCCTCGTCAGCTAATCTAATCAGCCAATTATCTCTCAGCATTTTATGAGAGTGTTGTCTATATCAGAAGCAACATTGTATAACAATCATAAGGAAATTTTGATTCTCTAATTTGTAGCTAGTGTTATTGTTACCTGATAAGTCAAATTCAGCATACCTAACTCTAGACTGGATAAAAGAAACAGCGACTGGTACTTCAAAATTAGGTAAGCTAATAAGGTATTTCTCCCACTTTCCTGGCGTGCCTTCGTGGTGTAGTGGTTCTGCACGCTGGGCCGGTATTCCAGAGGTCCGTGGTTTGATTCCCGGCAAAGGCGGTTGCTAATTTTTCATCTTGACTGCTTCCAATTAACCTAATGTCTCTACAAGCTTAGCAAAACATTATATAGATAGACAGATAGATATTCGCTATATGATTTTTATATGAGAAACTTCTCAATATATTGCTAAAGGAAGTATAAGGTACATCAAAACGATTGCTCGGTTTGGATAGAAGTAAAACTAAACCGAAAATATACATTTTCACCTTCCTTTATTATAGAAGCTCCAAATTCCTTTATGGTAAGATCATATTTTGAATAACTGACTAAGGGTACTTGCGTTCCAGTGCAGTACACGCAAAAACTTGCTCTCCATGGATCCATGCACTGCAGCTGTTTTCGATTTAGCCTTATCCAGGGTGCGCCACAAGGAGGCCCACTATATTATATCCCTTGCAATAAAGATTCTTTCAGGATGATATGATGAAAACGAGATGGAGATCAACACTGAAAAGTCAGTGTATGAGGCCTTTACCCTAAATCGGGAACCAACTGATATGAATATTGTATATAAGGATGCTATGCTAAAAGATCACATAACACCAAGAAATGGTGTTATGTGATTGTGTTCTGTGACTACATATGGGAAACGTATTCGATAAGAAGTTAACTTGGAAGGTACATGTCGAAGAGGTTACTTCAAAGATCAGGGATTTTGAAAAGACTGGCAGGTGCGAGGTACGTTTGCTGCTGAGACATTCTTAATTTAACGTTTAAAATGTATTTTGGACCTGTTTTAACCTATTTCTGGGAGCCTCTTACACCATGTAGTAAAGAGGAATGAATAACTTAGAAGTGGCCCAAAATCGAATCCTAAGACTCATTATTGGTGCAGTAAAAACGACTTCAATCCAGGCTATGTTATTGCTTATCGATAATAAACCCATAGCAGATATTATTGATGAAAAATCCTTGTCTTTTTGAAAAATTCATTCGTCTTCCAGTTAACACTCGGAGGAATTATGATGCAAACAAGAACAGAAAATTAACTCAGGCAGGTTATATTCAGAGAATCCTGACCATTAAAGAAAGATTCGATATCCCTGCTGACTGGACATTTATATGATAGATACTGGCAGGCCAGAGATAGACTTCAATATTTCCAGTCTGTTTGACGTATGTTTTCTTTTGAAATGTTGTAATTTTCCCTTCTGATCTTGGACTGGACATTTATATGATAGTGACTGGACATTTAAGTCAAAAGCTTCCCTATTTGGGGGTTAAACTTTTCCCTGATTTTTTTCCACTGATGAAATGTTCACACGAAATTGATTCGAATTCGGAATATACAAGAAAATAATTGTCTATCTCCTAGATCCTTCACTATATATGTTACAGTGAAAGACCGAAACTGGAGAATATCGACTATCACCGGAGAATATCAACATTCACCAAATACGTCGGTGAAAGACCGAATATTTCACTACATTCTTGTATATTCGGATCCTCACCGTTGTATGTTGACAATCACAGATATGCTCTGATGAAAGTCGAAAAGAGAGGTCATAAAGTGCCGTAATAGTTTAAGTTGTTGCAATAAATAAGATTTGAATCACATAATTTAGTAAGTTTTTTATTACTTTTATTTTATTTTCTCATTTAGAACGTACTGTACAATTAAGTAAGCTTTTAACTTCTATTATTTTCCTTTTTCATTTTGAATGTATTGTGTGTTTTAGGTTCTCATGTTCTTAAGTTCTTATTTCAAGTCCCAAGTGCGTTTATTCGCGATTGAATTACGGAGAAGAAAATATAATATTATTATATGTTCAACGTTCACCATTAGTACATGGTGAATGTCGACATTGACCGGTGTAAGTCAGAAATAAGAGTATTTGGAAAATATTTCGGACATACACCAAGAGACTATGTGAATGTTGATATTCACCGGTGAAAGTCAACATTCTCCAGATTTCGGTGTTTCACCGTAACATATACATAAATCTCCTACATCATTCACACAGTTCGTTCACACACTATGCATGTTCTCACTGTGATCTTCATAAATTCTTCAATCAGCTTACCAATTTACAATATTTGATGACACCTGATGCTTTATAAACTTAATGGTTTGGGTCCCTAACAATTAATGTACATAGGCAGATTTTTAAGAACACAATTTCTCATTTTTCTCTGGAATTGCTACATTATCTGATCTTCTGTTAATACAGGTTATGTATGAATTTTACATGAATTGTGTTACAACTTTACACAACTACAATTTCAGGTTCGGAGAAATGGTATTGATTAATTATTTATGAATAAAAATTATTCACATTTTATTTTCCTTCTAAATTGATAAAATATACTAAGCAAATGTGAATTTCCTTATAAAGAGCTTTTGAAATATATTTTTATAATAATAATAATAATTTACACTGTCTATTTTATTTTTCTTCCAGGAATTTCTCCAAACATGTATAACCAAACTACTATAGTTATTCCTTTTCCGTTGCTTATTGCTGTCGTAATATGTGGTGTTATTATCTTAGCTGGTCTTATTGGACTTCTGCTATTCTGTCGCAGTCGTCGATACTCTTCTACAGCTTCAAGAGAAATTTCCTCAGCAGCAACAAATACGACCAGTAGCTCATCATCTAAGACCGGAAGCAGTGGTACAGCGGAGATTAAACACTCGTACGCTGAAATGAGATGCCATCCACCAAGAACTGGGATTAAGGATGAGCTAGGTGTGACATCATCATCAAGGATTTACATAGCGCCCGGCCAGTTTCATAGGACAGCCATATTAATTTGAAACTTTGCATTGTTCGATGTTTGTAAACGTTATTGATGTTTGTCGTTCGTTATAGAAATCTGCCCTTTGTTATGTTTCGTTCTTTACCATGTGGTAAAGGGCAATAAGCAATCAAACTGAACGTACTTAACTTAACGCAAGCGTTAAGTAACTAATGCTACATCAGATAGTTTTAATGAGAAATTTGAAGTACACAACTAGATTTTTTAAACATGTAAGGACTATTGTGTGAAGAACTTCAATAATGACTTTATATTATTTATCAATTTATATTTATCAAATCATGAAGCACAAAAGACTTCGAAAAAGATATGAACTCTTTGCTTTGCATCAGCAGTCTAGACATCATTTATGAATCGAAAGTAAAAGTGAACAATCATAAAGGTTTTCTGGTTACTTACTCGCTATTTATAAAGCTTCAACGTTTGTAAAACATTCCATCAAAATTTGTAAGGTTGACAGCACGATATAAATTCAGTTAAAGAACTTAAAAGAACTGACGCACGAACTGACTGCAATTTTTATATGTACATAATGAAAGTATATATAAAAAACAACACTTTTAGATTATAACAGTAAATATTGATTGAAAAAAGGATAGCTTTTCAATAGTGTTGCATAAGTAAAGTTTTGGGTTAAAATTATAAAGCATAAGATTAGTAGAAAACGAATAATATTTCTAATGTTAGATTACTTGCAACAACACAAATTTTAATTTTCTCTTTCTTTCTTCTCCAGATAATTAAAGTAAATTACTAGCTTAAATTAATTAGACATTTTGAAACCCATCCAATAGCAAGAAACGAATAAATTATGGGATGAGCAACAGCTTGAATAATATTTCTGTAAAGAAGAAGTAGAAAGTAATTATAGATATATTAGTAATTTAAATAGACGTGTGATTTATCCTGAATGTCTAAATAGATTCCATTGTCTTAAATATGCAAATAGATGCAAAATATCTGAAGCTCCTTTGTTAGAAATGAGACGTAAATAATTTTTGATGGCTTGAAAAGAGGACACTGGGATTAGGGGATACTGCAATTGTTTCCTTTTAGATAGGTAGTCATAATGACAATCGATTTTCATGAAGAAAGATGCGAATTCGAAATAACTGATAATTCAGTTACGATTCTGAAAGGCCAGATGTTTCATATTATACCATATCACTGTGAACTCTATGTGCAATGTTGTATTTGTGAATTTCAAATGAATTGTTAATGAAATCATATGGCTGTAGTTATCGTTGGTAATTTAAGATGTTCCCAAAATTTTACATAAAAGTTTCTGTTCTGAAAGAATAAAGAAGCATAACGAGTTGAAAAAATTACATTGTCCTGTATTATTTTCTAAATATTATTCTTTATTTTTGTTGCTAATATCATCCATAATTTATAAATTTATTTTAAACAAATAAATACTTTAATTCCTAATTAACGGGCAAAGGAAGTGTATTCTTGGAACTTCTGTTTCGCAGACATCTCTTCATCAATTGCGCTTATAGAGTAGAAAGTAATTGGCATTTCATTGAAACGTTAAGTAAGTTAAGTTTAAAAGATTAAAGCAAAGTATATGAGGGTTATCTACCTAAGAGGAGGTTTTGGTTTGTGTGATTAAGGCAAAGCCTTGAGGGAGAGAGTGGCCTTTGAGGAGGACTTTCTAAGGGAAGTTGGGTCGTACACAAGTTACACATGGGGAAAACCACGAAAACGTCCATACAGCTAGCCCTTTTGCGAGATTCGAACCTCGGACCGAGCTACCAGTGTTCAGCGGCTTTACCAATAGGTCCTTAGGCCCACCAGCGGCCGAGCGGTAAAGTCGCTGAACACTGGTATTTCGGTCCGAGGTTCGAATCCCGCGAACGGGCTGGCTGCATGGGTGTTTTCGTGGTTTTCCCCATGTGTAACGTGTATACGAGCCAGTATCCCTTTGAAAGTCCCCCACGAAGGCATCCCTCCCCTTAGGCAGATAGGCAGATCCCCTAGTGCGCTTTGCCATAATTAAATACACACCATCACCAATAGGTCCTTAAGAGGAGGAATGCCTTCATGGCGGAAGCTGATTGGTGTTCACATTCAAAAACGTAAAACCATAGAAAATCCATACAGCGCGCCCCGTTACCCTGACTTGAATCCCGGCTGTACTACCAGTTTCAGCTATTTTACTGCTCTTCGGCTGATTGGAGCCCTTTATTGAAATAAAAAATAATTTCTCCATTAGTAAACAGCTATAAGTAACTTATTAAGAAAACCAAAGATGTGTAAAATTTTCCTTTATGAGAGAGAAGTATTACAGATTACTAAAATTATTTACAGAGCAGTCTCAAGTAATAATCACTAAGCAGAAACTCAATATAGTCTAAGACTCTTACCTGAGCTTTTCAGTTAATTAAACAGAATCACGGCTAAAACTCAATCGTATTTCTTGAGCTTTCCAAGCTCTGCTGGAAACTTCAAGAAAATTTCCTTGTACTTCAGAAATGCGTTTTTCGGGGGGGGGGGGGGGGGGTAAAATGCAACCGAATTGGCAAAACATCATCAGATGTCGAAGACATGGCTACAGAAGGTGTCGCCAAGTAGTAGAATTTGTTGCTCATATCTCAAATTCTAGGTTAGGTTATTTTAATATGCCAAAACACGTGGCTACCTGTCTGATAGAAAGAACGTCTTCGGGGAGAACTTCAAAGGGAAATTGGCTCGTATTCACGTTACACCATGATTGAAATTACACATAGGGGACAAAACAAAAACAACCATATAGCCAATCCGGTTCGCATGGGTTCGAATCCAAGCCATGTGGAACTACCAGTATTCAAAGGTGTCTTAACCATTCGACCACTGGTGGGGCATCTCAGGCTCTAATCGAGCTACTTTTGCAATTCAAACTCTGAATCAATCGATATTACAAGATCTACCACCATAATACGCGAAATAAATACAAACACAATAAATGGCCCCTAATTCGATTAAACAAAAATACACACTAAAATCACTACATAGACTACATTGAGTAAGTAAATTAAGTAATTACAATAATATACAACATATAATAATATATAACATATAATAAATACACTCTTTAGCAAAAAAAATCGAAGCACTATGAAGGAAGTGGTTGTTTTTGATGAAATTGAATATGAATATTAGCTCATACACAGATAATAAAATGATTAAAAAATCAAGGTCATGGTACCTATTCACGGCTCTCAATCACCCATTGAGTGTTCAAATTAGTAGTCGCTCGAACCGCCCCCTGGCGGTAATGCATGCTTGAATTCGTCGAGGCAAGGAATGATAGAGATTCTTAATGTCATCCTACGATACATTCTGCCAGGCATTCATCAGTTGTCGCTCCAGATTCGCGATATTTTGTAGTGGCCGAATCTGGCGGCCTACCATGTTCCAGACATGTTCGATTGGTGAAAGATTTGATGACCTTGCTGGCCAAGGAAGAGTATCAACCGCACGGAGATAGTCCAGAGATATGCGCGCGGTATGTGGCCTGGCATTATCTTGGTAAAATGGCCGCAGGATGACATGCCGTGAAGGGTAATGCAACCGGCGTCAAGATGTCGTCAACATATCGTTGAACTATTAATGATGTACGGAGGATGACTAAAGATGACCTGCTGTCATAAGAAATAGCGCCCCACACCATCACACACCAGGGGTTATGGTTGTATGCCTTTGTAAAACAAAGGCTGATTGGGACCGCTGGCCCAATCCTCTGCAGACATGAACACGGTGGTCATCTGCTTCAAGAGTGAAACGGAGTTCATCGCTGAACACTATACGATGACCGTCTGATGGCAGCCATGATGATCGGCTGAGACACCACTCGAGACGACTCCGCCGATGTTGCGGGGTCAAATGCAATTGAAGAATTTAAAAAGTTGAGTTAATTCTAATTTCATTCAACAGTAGCTTTTATTTTTACTTAAGCTTTGAAGCGAAATATTTACATGTATTTTCCAATTCTTTTATTTATTATTTTAAAAAATATATTTCTTATTTTATTTGCATTAATATAATAAGAAATGATTTACTAGTTGTAAAAGAAACGTTTAAAAATTTTAACTTCATAAGATATTTTCTCCCTCCTTTCCGCATGCCTTCGTCATGTAACTGGAAGCATACTCGATGCATAATCGAGAGGTCCAGGTTCAAGTCCGCCGAGAGTACTGCACATTTTTTCACATCGTCTGCTTCTAAAATAATAATAATAATGACTCTACAACTGGCCCCGGAACTAGAAAGTGGTTTATGATAATTCGTTACCACCAGGATTTGGCGACTGGATCCCCTAATCTTCAGTTGGCCCATTAGAAAGGGAAGTACATAAGGTAATTTCTTCCTGCTTTCCGCATGCCTTTGTCGTGTAATTGGAAGCATAATCGATGCGTATTCGAGAGGTCCAGGATTCGAGTCCCGGCGAGGGCACTGCACATTTTTCCCGTCTCCAGCATCAAATTCCTAATTAGGCCCTACAGCTTTCATACCTTTATTTAAAAATGTGTCGTAGTCTAATTTGTTGGAGTATTAGGGGCTACCTTTTCTAATTCATTTATTAAATTAGAATAAATATTCTATCTGCTACATTAAAGATATTTAAACTTGCGATCATTCTGAAACACCCTGTATGTGCGGATACATAAATATACATGTACGTACACGCAGAGAGTCCAGATGAAAGCCTGTACATTAGTCCTTTCGCTTCAGGATGTACGGTCTCAGGGTGTACACACTAATCATATTTACGTTACGCATAGGAAAAAACCGCGAAAACTCGCATGCAGGCAGCCCTTTGACCTGGAATCGAACCTATGTCGAACTATTAGTGTTCAGAGTCTTTACCGCATGGCCCTTAATTGACGTACTCATTAGGTCTAACATCACTAAAGTGGAAAACTGACTGCTACGTCTTCTAGTAGGAAATTAAGGAAAATTTTCAAATTTACTCGTTGCCATTAAGCGAGATAATAGAAAATGCTCAACTACGCAGTTATATAAAACCATTTAATAATTTTAAATCGGCATCCAGAAATGTAGTTTATTAATGGGATACCAATCAGGTATCAGTTATAAACAGAGTACAGAATATATTGCTTTGATGCATGTTGGCTAATAGACAAATTTATCTCATAATTGATGATACTTCTGTTCTATATTATGAATACCATGTTCATATTTTCCCACACTCGTTGAGATGTTCTCCATGTGCCTCTTTCATCACATCTATATGTAGGTTTGGAGCAGCAGAAACAAAGCCGCCGATGACACTCGAATACAGAGAGATTTAGGCTCGATATATCAAGAACATTATAATTATTATTATTCTGCGAGATCAAATGCAGTATGGGCTATGCAAATCATATAAAGCTTCCGCTGGCATGATACTCAGCCGATTAGTATTATAACGACACAGCTGTACAGTGTGTTCAAAGAGAAGAATGACAGTGTTAGGTTAGAATATATGAATATGGCAAAGCATACTAGGACTGTCTGCCTAAAAATAAGGATGCCTTCGTGAAAGACTTTATAAGGGAAGTTTCCTCGTATTTACATTATACATGGGTAAAACACAGAAAACAACCATGCAGTCGGTGTTTCGCCTGGGTTCGAAATCGAATCAGACTACCAATATTCAGCGGTCTTAACCTCTTGACTACTGGCGGAGCGTTTTACCCTTCTGAAAAAAGGTCTCAGATCTTTATTTATCTAGATTTATTCTTTGGGTTTTCATTAATTAATGATTTGTTATAAAAATAGTAATAAATGTAATTCAGATCTTCGGTTGTTTAGAAATTGCATTAGTAAACGATTTACTTTTAATTTTCCAAGTGAAGCTTTGTCCAGGATTCCTTTTAGGGCGCAGTAGGTATTTAATTCTATCTTTAAATTAGTGGTCTCTCACAGGCGAACCTTCACAAAGTAAGACTATGATAGCTTCCAAAATCTTTGATGAACAAAATGTTGCCAGTTTAACCCAATGCTTCGTTGTTGATATTTGCAGAAAATTTTAATTACCTTGGCGTCATATTCAGCAGAAATTTAACACGGAAAATTCCTTTCCACTAAATGTGAAAAAAAATTATCATCTTCGTAGAATTTCAGAAAATACTTTTAGATTAATCTATATAGTAAAAAGGTAATATATATGGTCTATATAGTAAAGGTAATGTACATTGGGCCTTTCGTTTCGTATGCTTCTCGCATTCGAGAACATATTCTTAAGAACATTAATTAAGAGACTCTAAAAACTCAACGGAGTATTCTTACTATTAGCAATTTTAGAACACCAAGCTATAGGGCTACTTTTCTTCTTGCAGAAGTTCCA